ACCTCTCCTTTCCCTCGCCCTCCGCCCCTCAAAGCCCAGAGCTCTCGGCATCCTCAGTGTCCCAGGACAGGCCCCTCTTTCCCCTCCTAACTTCTCTCTGGCTTGTGGGTTTGGTTTGCATCGACGTCCGCAGGCTGTCGTGAGGCCAGCAGAAAACACGGGCGAAGTCCAGTCTGTCTTTTGACTCCTGGTAGGTACCGTGGGGACAGATATATCAGGTCATCCTTTGGGTCTCAGAGACAGCTTCTAGCAGTGGGAGCCGATGAGGACAGTTCTAGAGGAACCCCTCTGTGCAGAAGAAGTTCTCCCACTCCTCTCACACGACCTGGGCAAGGGAGCCATGGTGCCCGGACACCTCAGCAGAATTCTCCCAAGACACAGGCACGACAGGACACAATCTGAAACGAGACAGATGCCTAGCAGCACAAATGCTCCACCAGTGAATGGCGTCAGGCTTTGCCATGTTTGGGTGCCTTTGGTCTGAGTAGTATACCAGAGGACAAGCTTTCCCTTCAGGATCCTCGAGGCCAGTGGCAGATTCACACTTGAAGGGTACGGAGTTCACAGTACTTACCCATTTACCCATCACAACACCAGGCGTGCATTTTACACTTCAACACTATCCCATACATTATCTAAGAGGGCTCACACCTGTGAAGTAGGTGGTCTCACCCCCATTTTAAGGAAAGGGAGGCTCCAGGTTTATGTGACCTTTTCAAGACTGTTTAGCTAATAAATAGTTGCATGGAGGTGGAACCCAGGTTTCAGACTAAAAATTTCTTCCCTCTTCTTCTCTTCAGGTCCTCTTATGCTGGGTGCCACACTCCTTCATCCCAGATGGCTGGGGGATGGGGTTTTCCTCTGCTGACTAGTACCAAGTCTTCTCATTCTTCATCTCAACTTCAGTGTCATCTCTAAAAGGCCCTCTCTGACAAGCACCGAATCTAACTTCGTAGGTCTCTGCTGTCCCAGTTTCTAGCTCAGCACCCTACATATTTCTTTTATTGTACTTTTCTTAATCTCTAATTATCATTTTTACTAATTTGCCCCAGACAGAGCCTGGCACGTGATAGGTCCGATGAAACCATATTTTATATGCTGGACAAAGTCTGAGTGCTGTGTATCAGGTACTTTTTAAGCCACTGTGATGGAACAGTAGCCAACATAAACAAGATCTTTGCTCGCATGGAGCTTATTCAAGTGTTTGTGTGCACGAATTTCTGTGCAAGACAGAAAATACACAGGTAAATGAATAAAATAGATATGTGAGCTGGTGATAAGTGCTATGAAGAAAAATAGAGCAGAAATGGGTATCAGGAATGTAAGGGGTGGGGACAGGCTGGGCAGTATGCCAATTTCATGAGGGTCATTTGAGAAAGCCTTCAAGAAGGTGACATTTGAACAAAGAGCCGAAGGAGGTGAGGGAGCGAGCCACACAGACATCTGAGGAAACATCTATCGCACCTCCTTTTGTGATGACTTAGAAGGCATCTGAATCTTCCCTGCAGGCTACCAGAGCTATAATAATGAACATTAATCAGTGCTACTTGGTATAATGAGGGGAGAAAGACACAGTACTTTATTTGTTTGGATTCCAGATCATCAGAAGTGATGTCAGTGGTCATGTCAGCTCAATATGTTATTAAAAATACTGATTTGATTATTTTGATGCTTTAATATTTCTGTGAGCTAGTCCATTATTAGCTCATATTTACAAAGACAGCACCAGAAAGCTTCCAGTGGCATTTCCTAGCCTCTGTGTGGCATATGGTACCCACAGTGGGAGAGGGTCAGCTTGTAGAAGAAGGGAGGAGGAAGACAGGGGACCTAGAGAGCTGGTGTGCTCTGCAGGGAGAGGTAGGTGGGTAGTTAGTTACAGGAGAGTGGTTGACAAGACACTGGAGAGAGGTAGAGGGGTGGGGGGGGGGTGAGAGAAGGCTGGGAAGGAAGTTGAGGACCCACAAATCCTCAGCACCACCACCTCCACCACCTGGGTTGCTATTGTTAAAGTCACCAGGATCTCTTTACAGCTTAAGTGCAGTGGTGACTAAGTAAATTTAGTGTGCTCAAGTAGAACTTTTCAAGGAAGAGATTTTTCCCCAATGATGGCTCCTCCCCAGACTCCCTCAACAGAGACCCCAGAACTCCTTTCCCTCCTCCGGGCCCCACTTTGATGGGATTCTGTGTAAAAGTACAAGGTCCGTGTGTAGTGTCAGGACAGTGTCTCCCATGGAGCATCACCCCAAAAGGACTTAAGTGTAAGCCTGGCAGCCCTTGAGTAGCGTGTAAATGCAGCAGAAGAGAAGCCCCTGGAGAGCCTCCCAGAATGAGGAAGCCAGAGCTGGGTTCAAAAGCAGTTTCCTTGCTGTTTCCAGGCTCTCAGCTTCCTTGGGTTGGGGTGGGGGAGCCCAGGGGGGAGGTGCTGTGTGCAACTCTACCAGCTGGAGTCTATGGAGGAGCTGGACTCAGAATGTTGCCAAGTCCAAACTTGTTCTGCTCGCTGCATGCCAGGCCAATAAATCGGGAGACAAGGTGTTGGGGCAAGGAATAATGACTTTATTCGGAAAGCCAGAAGACCGAGAGGATGGCAGATGAATGTCATGGAGAACCATCCGACTCCAGTCAGAATACAGGCTCCTTTTATACAAACAAAAACTGGGGAGGAGGTGTGGTTCGTTGTTGCAAACTTCTTGCTGCCGGAATTCTTTGTTCTTGTAGGTGTCCCTGTGGGTCAGGCCATGGTGTCCCTGTAAACCTCCAACAAAGGTTATTCTCTATTTTGCAACTTACCATCTCTACATAAATGCAGAAGTGCTAACATCCTTAAAAGGTCAGAGCCCCGAGAATAGGCTCTCCTGTATATTTCAGGCTAAAGGCAACATTGTTTTACAAAAGGTGCACAGCTAGCAAAACTAAGCCTAGAAAGCAGGGCACAGTGGTTAAACTAAAGGAACAGACCCAATATAGAGTCAGATTTGTTCTCCTTTATTACAAGAATTGGTAGTAAAAACACATACACATATGTCTCTGCCCTTTGGCGTCTCTAAGAGCCTAGTGATTCAAAAGTGTCCCCTCTGGGCTTTGGTGTATCTTGGAGGTGAGACCATCCCATTTCCTCTGACTCAACCGCCTGCTGCCGTATTCTGTGCTGTCTGTCCTAGGATTTCAGCATCTGTTCTTGTGTGAGAAGAAGAAACAGCTCCCTCGGGTAACAGCCTCTCTCTATCCTTCCTGCTATAATGTCAAGTGGGGGAGGTGTGTGTGTAGTGTGAGGTGTGTGCTTGTGGCATCCTCCAGAGAGAAAACAAAAGCTTCCCTGCTCTGTCGGCAGGATGTTTCCAGTTGACCATTCTAAGGACAGCTCTCATTTCTGCAACATGTTTGGCTTTCTCTGGGATAATGTTGTAGAGAGTTGAGTGAGAAAGGGACCTCACACTTAGCTCTACCCATGCATGAATGGCTTTATGCACAGGATCTGATTTTTAAATGTGAATATGTACATTGTCATCTCCATTTTAGTTCAGGAGGGCCCAAATAGTACGTGGCAGAGCCAGACTTTTGAACGCAGCTCCGAATCCAAAATATCCACTCCCCCCCCTCACAGTAGTACCTTGCTGATTATGACATGCTGCACTGAGAGCTATACAAAGCAAATTACCCAACATTGTTTGGGACAGTGTGGTGAGACGTACGGGATGGCCGAACCCAGCTTCATGAAATGTTACACCAAGGCATGAGTGACCAATGAGGCATTTTCATTGGATAGGTCCAGGAAGATAACATGTTACGACTGAGAAGGAGGACATCCTAAAGTCCAGTGGTGATTCTAGTCTGTGCTCGTGCGTTATCGCTGCTGTTCTTTTTTACCCAACTTGGATTCCTGCTCCAAGCTAGTGATTCTCTACTCTGGCTGCACATAAGAATCACCTGAGGAGCTTTTACAAAATCCTGACGCCCCAGGCTGCTCTGAGAGACTGTGATTTAATTGGTTGGGGGTGGGACCTGGGCACTGATATCTTTTACAAGCCCCCCAGGTGATTCTAATGTGCAGCCAGGGTTGAGAAGCAATCTTCTAAGACAGCCATGGGAAGGGTGTACAGGGAAGAGGCTAGCTTGCAGAAGAGCTTTACCTCTTTTGATGGTTTAATGGTAACAAGCTTGCTAATGATGTTTACCATGTAAGAAAGGGGGCCAGATGTCTGAATTAGTTGGAAAACTAATTGATTTCCTTGCAAAACAGGGTAACATTTAGTATTGACAGGATGTAATCCTAGAATCTCTCAGAAGGGCGGTAAGGAAATCTCAGGCAGCCATTTCATCCATTCTGTTGGAATACTTGCAAATTGGAGAGTGAGAAGTATTTATATAGACTAGGGACATTTAAAAACATGTTTATGCCGTCTGAGATGGCCTGCACTCTATGGAGTGTGCAATCTCCCTGAATAGATCTACTTTCATCTTAAAAAAAATAAAAATAATTTTAAAGAAAGGAAAACTAATGGGCAACCAGAATAGAAAGATTGGGTTTCCCCTTGGGGAAAAAGCAATTTCTGCCATTCCACAAGAACTCTGAGCCGCAGCCAGCCTGCCTTCCCACGTTCCCTCTGAGGGTTTCCTGGCAGGTGTCATTCTCTCAGGATGACTGGAGGATGGATGTGCCTGCTGGTGGCAGCAAAAGCTTTTCCTGAGGAGGAAGGTGGGTCAACATATCAGATTTCAGTGTAGTTAACTGGCTCTTTTTATGACCCTAAATCCCTGTGTATTAGAACTAACCCTCTTTCTGGCTTCCCACTGCCTTCTCTCCTCTCCTGAGCAGCCTGGAGTCTCCCCGGCAAGGCCTGGTTCTACTGATGGCTCTCAGCCTCTCCCTTAGGGAGCAAGTGCATGCGCTCACTTTTTCCAGTGGTCTTCTCCCTCTGACTTAATGGATAAACCAGGACTGATGACACATCAGCACGGGATCTTTCTTTTGCTTCTTGGGTAATTGTCCTATTAACAGCTGTCCCAGGCAAAGAGGGGGAGGAGGAGTGTTGTGGGGGAGGGAGGCGGGTAGCTTCCCCGGTGAAGATGGATACACCCTGGATTTTACAAGGTTAATCAGTGGGTTCTGCGAAGGAGGTTTGCACCTGCTCAGACTTGACCTGGAACTCTAGACAGAGTAGAAGACAGTATTTCAATCTCCACCCTACAAGGAAAATATTAAATATCCTGGACGCCCA